CGGGCCTACTTGGTGGTTGCTGCACGCCGGCTACAAACTAGTAAGACTAGACTCACTGGAGCATGAGTTCCAGTCTTTCAACAAAGACTTCCTGGTCAAAAGTTTCCCGGCGAGCTTCCAGTACTGAAAAGAAAAGGAAGGCCGGGGGTGAAAGAGGTCAAGCGGGTCGTGAGTTTCACCGGCGCTGCCTTGACTGACTCTTCTGGGCGTTGGGGTTGGACTGGACCTCCAGAATCACGGTGGTCACCACGTCAGCGTACATGTCGTTGAGCGGGTTGGCCAGCCACTGAGAAGATGACACGGATTTGATTGACAGCTGACACCTGGTCGTCATGGAAAACATTCTCGTGTGGCTCTCCCACCTCCAGCAGAACCATGCCGGACTCATGGACCAGAGTGATGCTCTTGAAGATCCGTATGGTTATCTTCTCTGCAGACTCCACCTGCTCCACGTCACCTCAACGCAAACACACGCAACCGATTTGCACAACGCACGCAGGCGGACGGACGGGCGGGCGCGCAGACGCCTTACCGGTGAGGCATCGGAGCTGGCTGACCAGCAGCGAGATGGGTCCCGTGTACGGGATGGCCTGCGTCTGCGTGACTGTGCCCACGCTCAGATCTGAGTACTCTGGACCACACAACCGCCACGTTAGATGATATCATCGGTCACATGGATTGTGCCCGCACTGCCCTTCTCGCCAATTATGTTCCACATGCACTGTTGAAGCTAACATTTCCGGGCAAGCATTTGAAACGTCAAGCTCATTTCGAGGCGGTGACTCCAAATTCAATCTGATACGAGTTTATTGGAGGGTTTTTGGGGGCACGGTGGGTGGAAACCAATCAGCCAATCAGAAAAGGCCAAACCAAACGGTCAAAGTGATTATGTTGAGAAAGAATCACATTCTACCGTTTCCGTTTGACTCCCCTTTTGCAGTTGTTTTGGACGGGCACGTGCACCTGAGAGATCAGAAGGCGTCAGGATGTGATAGTTGAAGTTTCTTTTGACGAGGATGCCGGACACCCTCTGCCCTTGAGTGCAGGACTTGTCAGCCAGCGAGCCCATCACCTGCAATGAAGCACGGCGGCATTCATCACCACGCCGCGTTTCAAGGTGACGGCGGCGCCGTCAACGCACCTTGGCCAGTTTCTCCCCGCGAAAGTTGAGCGTTACGGCCTCGGTGTTTCTGGGGTTGTGGACCTCGATGTGGACCTGGTCGTTGTCCTCGTACTCGCGGATGAGCGCCGCCTTCAGCCGGGCCATCTCGTTCTGCTCGCCGTGGACCAGGATCTGCAAGCGGAGGGGAGGAGACGTCCGCACGGGGCCGTGGGAGTCGCCGGCAGGGGATGCTTACCACGTGCGGCGGTTTGAGGGCTCGGATGAACTCGCTGGTCTGCTGGTAGTCGGTGTGCGCCGAGAAGGAGATGTAGTCCACCGACATCTTCAGCGGAAGCTTTTGCCCCGACATGGTGCAGATCTCTTCCGGCTCCGTCATGATGTGCTGCAACATTGCAAGCGGGCGCCTCGCAGGTGAATTCGCATAATTCAGACTAACATTCACAAGTTGAGGTTGCTTTTTTTTTTTTTTTTTGATGGGTCACGCACGCACCTTGGCGAGCGTGCCCTCCACACAGTATCCAGCGATGATGACGCCGTTCCTCTTGTCGGTGCACCAACTCTCAAACAGTTCTCGGGACAAACCGCTCTGCATCATGCCGGGAGACGCCATCACCACACTGGGCCCAATGTCATCAAAGTGGTCCATGCTCTGCCACGCGCACACAGACAGTGACTGCGATGCTTAACAACACAAATAGACCAAAAGCCTGGCAAGTTCCTCAGAGGAAAGACTCTGGAGGAAGCAGGGGCGGGTGCTTATTGACCTTGAGGTTGCTGATGTGTTTGAAGACAAAGGGGTTGTTGACGTTGATGGCCTTGCGGATCTTGTCGTTCATGGCGTTGATGTATGTCTGGTAGACGGCCATGCACTTCCTGGCCAGCGACGATGCGTAGTAGATGGGAATGTCGTGCAGCTCCGGGTGGTTCTGCCAGTACTCGTCTGAGCGCACATCGCCACGTCAAACATACACCCCCCCACAGCCAAACGCGTGCATACACAAACAGGCGCTTACCGAGGATAAGCAGAAGCTCCTGCGCTCGTCCGAGCGCAAAGACGGGAATCAAGCAGCGCCCCTCTCGGTTGACGATGTCGTGTACCGTGTTGCAGAAACGCGCCTCGCGCTCTTCGCGCTTCTCGTGGATGTGCGTCCCGTACGTGGACTCCTGATGCACACACGCACAAATATAGACTTCAGGTAAAGACGGCCATCAGCACAAGAGGTCACAAACGCGCCTGACGCATCATCGCGGCCGACCGTGATGAGGATGTCCGGCTTGACGCTGGGGATCTCCGCCGCCATCAAATGTCTGTCCTCCTGACGCGAGAAGTCCCCTGTGTACAACAGCTTCGCGCGCACGCGTTTAGGGACATTTGGAGTGCCACAACAGTCCAAATCTGCAAGCCAAATTTTTGGGGGGAGGGATCTTCCAGTTGGTGATTTGGTACCTTGACGCCGGCGATCTCGATCATGAACATGGCGGCACCCAGGACGTGTCCGGCATGGTAGCACCAGAACTTGATGCCGGCCACTTCCTTGACCTCGTGAAAGTTGATGGTCTCGATCTTTTCCATGCTCTCCTCCAGGTCCGTCTCCGTGTACAGCATGTCGTCGGCCGAGATGTTGCTGCGGGCACCAGGTGGCAAGGTCACGGTCGGGTCTGTCCCGCTCGGGCGCGACGCTACCCGTCCGCAAAACGATTTGCCACCGAAAATGGCCTTTTGTCACACGAGCAAGTTTCTATTTCGCAGAAGTGCAACAATTAATTCATCACTTGATCGATGATCAAATTCATTGGCAACTACTTTGATAATCGGAGAGGTGCTTAGAGACCAAATCATCAGAATTTCAGCCACGCAACAGGAAATATTAGGGATGTTGGACAGCACTTTTTTACAGACCAATAAAACGACGGCTCTTACCCGAGTACAAATGCTCTACCCGCCTCGAGTAACATTACGGGTAACAATAACAGCAAAATTGCTTCTCGGAATAAAAAAAGGGAAAAAAATTGCCACAAGTGCGTACTGCTGTGTGCACAACAGGCAGAGTCCCCGGAAGAAACCCACCTGACTTTGACGTAGTCGGACAGGAGCCAGCGGTAGATGGCCTTGGTGGCGTGCGTCATGAAGGTGCGCCCCCTGAAGCTCGTCTTCTGCAGGAACCAGGGCAGAGCACCGCAGTGGTCCAGATGGAAGCTGAAGCCCATGCAAAGAAAGACAACACGTCAGCACCGCGCTCATCCATCTTCATCCATTTGGTTAATGCCTGGGCAATGATCGTGGGTAACGGCGAGCGACTGACTGGCTGATGAGCAGCAGGTCGATCTCGGCCGGGTCAATGAGGTCGATGTACGGCAGCGCGTCCATGCCCTCCAGGCCCGGATGGATGCCGCAGTCCAGCTGCCAGACAACGAGGAGGCCTTCGTGATGTCATCGCACGACCGTCACCAAAAAATAAGGCGCAGGAGTTGGTGCTTACCATGATTTTGCGTCCTTTAAACTCCAGGATGATGCATGACCGTCCCACTTCTTGGCCTGCTCCGCTGCACATGCACGCACACACAGTATACATGAAATATATTGAAAACCAGTAATGTCGTTAATATTTATGTTAAGCCCTTTGAGACTTTTCTGTGATGAAGGGCTATGCTAATGTATTTGACTTGACTTGAGATAATCGGGGTACTACACTGCTCAGTTTTAAATCGTGTAGCTGACTCAAGCGGGAGGGTTTACGTGCACTCATGATGGAATATGATGAGTTTCAATGATTATTTCATATTTTGCAACTTCCGATTTCGCATTAAATGCATCTTCATTCGTCATTTTCAAAACCGAAAATGAGAAAAACAATGTGGTTAGAACTGACATTATTATTATGCGAAAGTCGAGTGAAAAGTGTTTAGCATTACAGTCGAGAGAGCTTCAGGGTTCAGACATTCGAACCCTTAAGAGCCCTCCTGTGTGGGGAAGCACTCAAGTCATCACTTAGTTATAGAAATACCACCACCCCACACACCAAAAGTAAAATAAAAAATAAAAAATGAACTGCATGTATGGCAATAAGAAAAAAAAAAGATTTTTTTCGCCCATACAAGCATATGACCTAATTAACCGAGAGTGTTTTGGGATCCCAAACCACATTGGATGTATTTAAGTATCAAGTGACGTTTCCACTTGATGTTGTATTTGAGAAGATGTGGAAGAGTTTGGCGGGAGGCCCGACGCAAGAAGTCAACAAAAGTTAAGCTTCCGAGCACTCACAGTGGACGAATAAGCAGCTGGTCGCTTTCCTCGGCGGGAACTGCTGCTTCAATTTTGCGTTTGCTTGCCATCTTCCACTCGCGAAAAGCCGGCAAACGCTAAACTAAACGATAGTCATGCCACAAGGTTGACAATGGGCGCTTATTTCCACTCCCAAGTTTATTCGGCGATCATGTCCGGTTGTTCTCTTCTTCGACGGCACTTAACGGCGTCACCTTTGCCTTACCGCCACCTATCGGACGCACTTGCTTCCTACTCCCTTTTTTTTCCCCTCGATGCCATTTTTCAGTCGAATAACAGCAACAAAATAGGTAAAGAATGAATACATTATATTAAAACATTAAAATAAATAAAGAGAAAAAATTAGTGAATTAAAATTGTTCAAAAAGAGGCTTCAAGCGGTTTATTGCCACTCCCAGTTGAAGTTCACTCGAAAACTAAACAGAAAACAAAGAAAATTAAGACATTGTGTAGTCTTGCTAATTTGCTAAAGCACGTGCAGAATGGGGAATGCATATCAAACCTTTTCAGCAACATTGTTGAACACCAACAGTCCAGGAGCAGATTTAGACATTCAATATAAAACTTTGCACAATCATATATTCTTTATCCTGTGCGAGGAGCTGTGGTGTTTGGCTTGTACATCGATCGGGCTGTCTTGAAAGGCCCCCAGGTGGACAAGTCGGGCAGGAGCACAATGGCCCTTCAATTGATACTATGGCCCTTCAATTGATAATAAATGTCACTAAAAATGATTCCTTCTCTTTAATTGTCATTACTGGACGTTTTCAAGAATGAACAACAGTATCAAATGTAATTGTTTTGACTTCTGAGTCGTATCTCTTGGCACACGCCCTGGCTTAATAAAGCCTGTCAATCACTGGCTTGGAAAACTGGTCGCAGACGACTTGAAGACTGGCGCACTGTGATTTCCAATCACTTGGGTCAATTTCTTGCAATTCCACTTGAAAAATCCTGGTCACTCAGTGATGAAATGCACGAAGGTGACAGGAAAGACCCCGCGCCGCGCAGGTTCCCCCTCCACGTGGCCCACCTGAAGCAGAGCACAGCGAGCCGTCAGATAGCACCGCTTCCTGCCCCAAACGTCCATCCGTCCGCCCGCCCACCCACTCACTCACCCACCACTCGCTGTCCTCCTCACCCTCCACCACGATCACCTCACCCTCCTCGAAAGTCAGCTCGTCAGGGTTATCGGCGGAGCACCTGTAGATGGCCCGCACCCTTTGGGGTCTGGACGCCTGACCGCACCCATCACACACAAACCAAAATTCCAAGAATAAGAACAGCAATAGCACATTCACCCACAATTCTTTGCCAGGAACCCCTCAACATGGTGGAGTTTTCAGCTATGTTTTTTTTTCTTCTAATTTCCTTTTGACAGGACTGTTTAGCGCGTCTGCCTCAGAGGGCAGAGGTGCAGGGTTCGATTCCGTCTCCGGCCTTCCGGTGTGGAGTTTGCATGTTCGCCCCGTGCCTGCGTGGGTTTTCTGCGGGGACTCCGGTTTCCTCCCACACCCCCCCCCCCAAAACGTGCATAGATTAATGGAACACTCTAAATTGTCCTTAGGTGTGAGCGCAGAGGGTTGGCCATCTTGAAAAGGATTCATTTGTTTAGCTGTGTTTTAATGGCTTTTCAAATGCGTGTTGGGGTCAAACCTTTTTACTTTTTTATATATTCTTTGCACAATGCAGATTTTCACCAATTGCGTGTGGCTCTGGAATAGATCCCCCACAATAAACTGTAATCCTGATAACAAAAAGAAGAATCATCATCATCATCAATCACCATCCATGAGGACTTACGCTGAAGGTGGTTCTTGGTTGGGGAGTTGGGGGCGAGGAGTCTTGGGGGGACGGAACCTGAGAAGCTGCATGGAGACGTCCCGTTAGTCGTACATTACGTGCGAGGGAGCGGACGCGTCTGGCTACCTCGCTTGTCGGTTGGAGTCCTACGCAGAGACGACCTCAGTGGAGCTGCTTTGCCTGATCTGAAACCAGTGAGCAAGAAGAGTCACCTTCCAACACCTTGGAAGCACTACAGGACCGTGTGGACCACTTCAGAGGATCAACAGAGGCAAACTCTAAACTCACACTTGCCCCCTGACCGCCGTACTTCCTGAAGCATTCTATTCAGACCTTGTGCGATCACTCTTTACCAGCTCGGAGTTGTGTGTACCCGTTCAGAAGAGTACATCGAGACCATTTCCAGTCAGAACGGACAAGGGCTTACCTGCCGGGTGATTTGGGTCCCAGTGATTTGTCAACGGGTGGGGGCAGGGGTGGCGCTTTGTGGTGAGGAGGCGGAGCCAGAGGCAGAGGAGGGGAGGAGGAGGGGGTGGTTGTCGTGGCAGGTGGGCCAGAGGACGGAAGGGGTGTGCTCCAGGCCCCGCGGGGGGCTGGGGGAGGGGGGGGAGGGGGGGCAGGGGGAGGGGCCACTGGCAAAACTGGAGGACGGAAGGATCAGGAGTTGTGTGATGTTTGGCTCAAAAGTCACACGCACGCACGGGAAGTGGCACTCACCGTACATGGAGGTGTTTCTCTCGGGGGTGAGGTTTAGGGCGGGGGGGTCGGACGAAGACCTCTGCCGTCCTATGGTTTCCATGGTGAGCGGTTTAGCGGGCTGCCCTCTGGCGGGGGCCCTGGGTGGCAACGGTGGGTTGGGCCCGGGCGGTAGGTGGCGCTCGAGCACGGCGCCGTACGTCTCGTTGCTGATCATCATGCTGGGAATCTGACCGCGGTGTCGGCTGGGCTGCGCGGGAACGCCGGCGCCCACAAAGCAGCTGACGGGACGATCCCGTTCATCACGGCGGGACGGGTTGGGCTGGGGGAGTCAGGCGCATTCACGTCTACAGGGTTAGGTCAGCTGCTGCTGGGCCGCTCGCGTCGACGATGCTCACCTTCTCGTCCAACTCGTCCTCACTCTCGTCCAGGTCGTCGTTATGGAGACGCCACTCGTACTCCACGTGCACGTGAACGTTGAACTTTCCAGAATTGGCTTGAGTCAGCTGACACGGGCACGCAAGCATAGCTCAAGGTTAGCCTAACAGAATCTTGTTCTTGGCCTCCTCGAACTCCCTCAGCTTAAGCATTGCATTTGGCGACTTTGGGCCGGCCCCTTTCATGGGACCGGCCCCTTTTGAATGAACATGCCTTAGTTTCGCTTTGGCGTAGCGCTTCATTAGGTGCGCAGGAAATCGGCTAGATATTTATTGATCACGCAGGCAATTCTGGTATCACATTCTTTTGAAAGAACCTAATTTTAGCTTAGCATAGCACTCAGATGTGTTTGTGAAATCTCAACAAATGAGGCAAACAAAGCCAACTGGACTCTCACCAGGTCTTCACATTGAGTGTGCCCGAGTCGTCTGGCCAAGTCCAGCGGTGTTTCTCCAGACTCATTGGCTGCGCACACACGCACGCACGCACACAGGGGTTAGGGCTAGCGGGCTAACGTCCACGACCAAGTGATGGCAAAGGCATGCTGTCAACTCTTTCAAGATCCCGTTGTCATGACGACTCCTTCACGACTACACAATCACTACAAAACGATTTGTAGCAAGGAACGGGTGAACGAATGGCAACAGCGCGATGACAACGCTCGCCTCACCGATGGCAACGGACGCTTTGCCACGGAGCAGAAGTTTCAGGCACTCGCTGTTGTCCGTCAAGCAGCAGTAGTGCAACGCCGTACTTCCTCGTTCCGTCTGCTTGTCCAGGTCGCCGCTGCACGCGAGCAGTTATGAGCAGACATACACACGCGCGCAGTGTTATTGAGACACGAGTGAAGACTCGCGATGGCGTTTGCAGACGTTACCTGTTCTGCGCCAGGAAGTCCACGATATGCAGAGAGTTCCTGTCCACCATACGCACGGCCAGATGGAGGACCGTTTCGCCTGGCTCCTAAAGGGACATTTACACATCACCACCACCATCATCATCATCACACAGCCAACGAGCGAATGATGGCGAACGCAGTCGCCGCCTTGGCATGCATTCTCTCATTGTGTCCTCCCCGATGGCCACAAAGTGCCATCAAGGTCCGCTGTGTGAACGCAGGAGGCGGCTTGAAGGTCGTACGTGCTGCTGAGGCTGCGGGAAGGCCTCGGTCAGGTCGACGCCCTCGCCGTAGACCTGGATGAGTGCCAGGATGTCGCGGTTGCGCGCCGCCTGGTAGAGCGCGCGTAGGCGGTCGCTGTTGTCGGCACACCGGCGGCGGACCATCGCCTTGTCCACGTACTTGGACGTGATGAAGTCTTTCCGTCCCTGCCTGCGCACGCACCCGTCGTTTTTATTAGTACGACTCCTTGTGTCATTCGTCAGTCTGACCTGGTCCGATCTCTCTCTCTAGTACCTACATGTCGATTAACTATTGATCTGTTTTTTCACTCACATGTCGCTGGTGGGTTCCGGCTTGGCCACACCCGAGGCAGAAAGCTCCGCCTCCATGATGTCGTTGAACGCGGCGTTTCCGACGTTCTTGGCCAGCTGAAAGGGCAGGGCGGCAAGTTTGGCGTGGCCATTTGCTGTCGGCGGCCGAGCGAGCGGACTCACCAGCAGCTCAGACGTTCCCAGCACGTCCAGATCCAGACTCTGGATCCTGGAGAAGTGCACCCCGATCTCTCTGTGGATCCCCGAGCACTCGATGCAGATCAGCACGCCAAGGTTGGTGGACAACCACGAAGGACCTGCGCCGTCACCACACGTCTCAAACATCCTCCATCAGAGTTAGCTGGACTAGGGTTAGCGTTAACGATGAAGTCGCCCCTAGCCGATGTATACGCACATACAAACACACACACGCATGCAAAGACACACACGCACGCGGGCACTAGTCACCTGGAGCGCCGCAGTCGCAGCAGACGCGGTTGCCATCCATTTTCTTGACGTCGGCGACGATGGCCTTGCTGAGCTCCTGCACGATGTTGTCGCCTTCGTCCTGGTCACCTTTGAAGGCTTTGCTCAGCGCTTCTTCTTTGCTGTTCTGGAGGACAGACACCCATCTGCACCCAAGGACGTCACGCATCAAATCACCGCAATGGCCGCGAAGGTCAGACGCCACGCCCTGCGACTCACATCTGGCACTCGGCCTCGTCCTCTGCCTGGAAGTGATACGTCCGGTCATCTGAGGGGACAGCCAAACACGGCTTACAAGCAGCCGCCCAAAGTCAAATTCAACAACGGCGATCGTGTGGTTGCAAAAGTGGACACACCCACTTAGAACAGACGGTTGGGGTGTGGGCAGAATGAATTCCTGCTCACGGGAGTCAGGACACACCTGACACGACTGCAAACTCGACTGCTAATCAAGTTCAGCTGTTCCAGTAGGCTTTCTCAGACATTTGTGTCATCACAAGCCACCCTCAAGCTTGTTGTGGTGCGCCTTACGTGAAAAGAGGTCAAAGTTCCTCTTGTCGTCAGCGTTCTTCTTCACCTGGCACGTCAGTAGGTTGAGTTTGGCTGGTGGCCGATTAGCCTGAAAAACACACACACACACACACACACACACACACGAAACCACAGTTATCAAACAAAAAAAGCCCAAGTTAAACTCCGCCCCGATCTATGATGTCACTGTAGCTGACAGTGGGCCTCATTGCGCATGCACCCATGCACTCTTGCATATTGTGACTATTTCATACTCAAAACAAGACCTCAAAAGATGTTTATGAATGTTTTATGTGCAAAATGAAAACCCTTCGGTCTGTCAGTCTTTTCCTTAAGCTCTTCCTCCTCCTCCTCTTCCTCATTTTCTTGCTCTTCTGCTTGCTTTGTCCTGATTGGCCGTTTGACTCTTCGTGTAAAAACTTAAAATAAAAACAACACAAAAAAAGCCCCCCCAAAAACGCCCGAATTAAAACGAAAGTGTTTGTGTGTGTGGTGGCCGGTGGGCGGGGCTTACCGTGGCGTGGCAGATGGTCAGGAAGCCGTTTTTCACCGAGCACTTCCTCTTCTGCCAAACCTTCCTGAGCCTGCGCGACACCACGATGATGAGTGAGGACCCGTGGGCGTTGGCGCGTCGCGGGAAGCCGACTCACCCTTCGCTCCTCTTGGACAAAACTCCAGAGCGCTCCGTGCCGTGGGCCTTGTTGCCTTGCAGCTGGTGCAGGCTGTATCCTTGCTTCTGCTTGGCCGGAGCCTCCTGTCAATCAGTCACACACAGGGCCACTTAGGGCCCGCCCACAGCCTCCCCCCCCCTCCACGGGTCGACCATCGAACCTCTTTGCTCTCCGATTGCAATGACGCCTTCAGGACGTCTCGGAGCTGAGTCAGCTGTTTCCTCTCACCGTCCTGCGTCTGTTTGATCTGTGCGACCACCCACACGCACACGCACACACACACACACACACACACACACACACACACACACACACACACACACACACACACACACCTCACCCTCAGACTTCTTCAAATGTTCAAAGTTGAACGACATGTGTGATGCTGGCGTCCTCACCGCCGTCAGTTCCGACGCCATTTTCTCCACGGAGGGTTTTAGGCTCTCGACGGCCGTCAGTCCATCCTGGAAGAAGCTGAGTGCACGTGCGTGTGAGTGTGCGCGTGTGTGTGTGCAAAAAGCGTGCACCTGTGAAGGTGCAGGTGTGAGACTGTGGTGGAGAGCGCATGCGCGTGTCCGTCTACGGTCTTACTTGCACTGTGCGTGGAAATACTTGATGAGGTTCTGCAGGAGGTCGACGCCCTTCTTGACCTTGATGTCATTGACCTTGAGAAGGTACTGTGAACAAAGACGTCTGATGTCACTTCCTGTCCGTGCGGAGGAGAGCACGAGCTTTGACCCACCTCGCACATGTTCAACTGGAAGACGCGGCGTTCCTTCTCCATCTCCTCGGCAATCTCGCCGCCGCTGAACTCGGTGCGAATCATCCCGTGCTGCTTGGCGTGCTCGCGCTTCTCCTTCTCAAGCTTGGAGCTGTCGGCGGCAAACGATACCATCACCACAAAAGCAAAGCCGGCGGAAGCCCGGCGCGAGAGCTCCTCACAGTTTGCTCTCGTACTCCTTCCAAGCCTTGTCGAACGGCTTCTTCAGGTCCTGAGGGGATGATGACACGCAACGTGACATGTTACATGATACATGTCATCCCATGTTTGATGACACGTTACATGGGCTGTTACACGGCAACATGACATGTCAGGTAACATGGTTAGATAGTAGTGCGTCATGGCACCGATGGCAAGAGAGCAATGTGCGGCGTGACGCACCCCCTTAATGCCGCGCAGGTCGCCCTTGAGCAGACTGTCCAGCGGGAAGGAGATGATGTTGTTCATGTTCTGGACCTGAAGTGAGATCGCCGGTGAGGTGGGAGCATGGCCGTGACAACGGACAGACGGGGTTTACCAGGTTCTTGAAGAGCGCCGTCAGCTCTTTGCTGAAAACGGCAAACTTGAGGAAAGCGGCGCCCACGGCGGTGTCCTCGCCGCTCATGCAGTTGTCGCCCAGCTTCTCCATGGCCGATACATACTGGTCCTCGTGCTCCACGTGGACTGTAACGCGTCCACACACACGCACATTTTGAACGCTCATCGTGAGAAGTATTGGGCCCAATCGATTGATGCCTGGCCAATGACATCCTTAGCCAAAATAATGGGGTAAGCGGCCGATATTTTTCCCTTGATGCCCTCCAACCATTCACAGCTGCTGGACATATAAGTCACGCTGCTGGCATCATTTATTGCACCGAGTCAAGTGCGAAGATTCGTTTCCTGCCAGAGTGCTGCGTTCCCTTTGGCATGCTGGGACACGGGCAGGAATGGCGGGAATGTTGTACACGAGGCCACACGTCTGCAAGCAACTCAGTCCGTGTTTGTGTGTTTGTGTTTGTGTGTGTGTGTGTGTGTGTGTGTGTGTGTGTGTGTGTGTGTGTGTGTGTGTGTGTGTGAAGTCTGTCTGAGCACCACAGACGCATTGACTTGCCTTGTATTTGCTTCATGACAACATGAGGACAATTAAAGACAAGGTGAGCGCCTCACCAAGTCCCGATGTGTATACGGACTTCACTGCCTTCTTCAGCTTGGAAAGAACCGAGCGCTCCACATCCAGAACCTGAATGAATGGACACGCGCACAAAATATGATTCAACAAGACGTAAGACAAGAAATAAGAAGTGGCATCCTCCCTTCCATCAACAAAAGGGAGAAGTTGTACTTCCTGTTGTGATGTAACACATTGGTCTTCACTTTTCACTTCCTGTCAACGTTACATGAAGACCACTTTGACACACGCACGCATTCAGATGAACATTCAATCAAACACGCTCACATCAAATGACAGTGATGCAATTGTGCCTTGCTCAAGGGCTGTGCAACGGTCAAGTGTCATCTGACCGGCCCAATAACTTGGTCAAACACACAAACGTACACACAGACAGAAGCAAGACGTCCACAAACTTGGCTTAATACACACACGCGCGCGCACATACTAACACACACACACACACACACACACACACACACACACACACACACACACACACACACACACACACACACACACCCGCGCGCACACACACACACACACACACACACACACACACACACACACACACACACACGCGCGCGCGCGCGCGACTGACCTCTTCTAGGGCGTTGACGCTGTTCCTGCAGTCCGTCATGCGCGTGGAGAAGCTGGACGTGGTGGGCGCCTTGTAGTCGTCGTTACATTCACCGATGAACTCGGTGACGCTCAGCACGTCCGGCATGGCTGCGGTCCACAATTCCCACCCGGAAGAGCCGCACGCCCTTGACGTCACGCAACCTCAGGTGGGGCCAGGCAAGAAGCGCCACACCTGCCTCACTCACACTAACACGCGCGGGCGCGCAACAAAGAGTTATGGAAGACTCTCAACGTTTTCTTGGCGTGGACTTACTTCCCCTACCACGCCACGTCTCGACTAGGCGCAGTTTTCACCAACTTCTTTCTGCTTCTGCTTCTGCTGTGGACTTCCTCGGCGGTTGTCAAAGCAGCTGAACGGCTTGTCAGCGCCGCCAAGTGGAACGCCCACGTCACAGAATGACTTTCGCGAGCCATCGTGAACCAACCTGCAGCCCGGGGGCCCCCCAAAGACCAAATGAGTAGCCAACACGGGCCCATTCTAAAACAATACCTCACCAGTGAAACTGAAAATGTCAACGCTGGCAAAGATTTATAGAAACAAACTGTTGCATATCGGTTTGTATCGGCTTCCCAATTATTGTGAGAATGTCCTCACATAAATAAATATCATTAATTATGATTAAAAACATATGATCAAAGGTCATACCGCAACAACGAGGCACTCTAAAGTGGCCACGCCAGTGCAAAACACAAGCTGGGTGCCACGTGGGGCTTTTTTTCCTCCCCCTCATTCTTCCGGCTTCTCTCCCTGATGAGCATGCATTCACGGCCGACGATGCCGCTCTCAAGCGACCCCGCCAGCGGACTCCCAAGTATGTCACTGGGCCATGTTTTGGCCCCACCCTCAAAAAAAGAAAAGCAGTTGCCCGCTAGATCGCCAGTCTTCTGCTCATCCCCTTCAGCATCTGTGACAAGCTAGTATTTTTCCCACACTTGACCCAGTTTTCATTGTCAGGATCCATCAGACCCTCCTCACCCACCATGTTAGGGGTCTGCCCCTCAAAGGGCATGTGCTTCCTCCTCTTGTTGGGCCTGAAGACCCAAAGCATGTCCCTTCAGCCTATCAGGACACGGGCAACCACATGTGGCCCGCGAGCCATAGTTTGATCTCCTCTGCACCCGATTAGACACAAACTCCCGCACTTGTGAAAAGTTGACTTTTGACTCAAATGAGATGACGGTAAATCACCGAATCATCATTTTCTTGTTGATCATTAAACGTAAAGAATGCAAGAGATGCACAATGGTCATGGCGGCGGCCCCGTCCCCCAACCCCTGCTGAGCAAGACGAGGGGCGTCAGGACGCCTCATTTGCGTCCCACAATCCAAACACAACAATAGAAGCTCTTCAAGCAATCTGTCTGTCCTCTCACAACAGTGCACCACGTCCACATTTTGCATATTTGAAAGATGGTGCACAAGAAATCAAATCCCCCAAAGACATTTTGGGTTTGAATCTCTTGGAATGTTTTTCCCCATGCTCACATTTTTTCATACTCATGAATCAGTTAATCAACAATGAGCCAATGGTCAAATTAATCAACAAGTAATGTGATAATCGATGAATCATTTCGTTGCCTTGTTTACCTTGAAAGTTAATCAAATTTCAATAAAAATAGTATTGAAAAAAAATGAATGAAACATAAATATTGAAAGATTTTGGGCAGAGGCAATGGACATGAGAACTGAGTTCAAAAATTTTATTCTACTAGTCGCATTGGATTTCAGATAATTAAAGGAGAAAGTGCCAAAAATCAAGAGCTAGCATTTGATCATGCTGACACCCAATATTAGTGGTGTACATTTTCTTTCCATGAATTCTTTATGATTTGGATGCTGAAAGATGAAAAGCAGCAAATAAACTATCTGAGCTTTGATTGGCTGCCAAAGCGACAAAAGGCGCGAAAACGAAAACTGACAGAAAGCTGAGCTACGATTGGTCGAGACGGGTAAAAGACGGGCGGCCGTCCACAAAGCCGGCCTGCGATTGGCTGACTCTCACGCTCGCTACCGGTGTGTTTGGAAGACGCCGGCTGGTTCGTGTGCGGCTGCCTGCGACCCACAAGCTCCTCGCACGCTCGCACTGTCTGATCTCACATTCAAACGGAACCGGGTCGGCGGGCTGCTGTAGAAGCGAGAAAGTCGGAGGTGACGGACGGCGGACGGCCACCATGGTTCCCCGGCGGCACAGCGGCAAGGCGGCAGCGACACACATCAAGCGGCCCATGAACGCCTTCATGGTTTGGTCCAAAATGGAGCGCAGGAAGATCATGCAGCAGTCGCCCGAAGTGCACAATGCCGAGATCTCCAAGCGGCTCGGGAAGCGATGGAAGTCTTTGGACAAGTCGGAGAAGGTTCCATTCATCCGCGAGGCCGAGCGACTCCGCCTGCAGCACATGGCCGACCACCCGGGCTACAAGTACCGGCCCAAGAAGAAGAGTAAGACGGGATCCTCGGCCGCCGGAAAGCAACCGAACCCGAACCGACAAAGCTGCTTCGTGTTCAAGTGGGACTACAGCGACTCGGATGACGACGAAACTGCCGCGGAACCGGTTGAAGATACCGCTCGGCTGTTGTGCACGCGCCGGGCGAGCGGAACCTTCTCTCCGGACTCTTCGTCCTCGTCCCAATCCAGTTCCTCGTGCTGCGGGAACGACCTGGACCGTGACCTGTTCTCCCTCAGCCCCGCCCCCTCGGAACCGGCAAACCTGAGCCTCTCTCTAGTGGACAAGGATTTGGACAAGGACCTCAGCGGAACCGAGCGGGGGTGCGGGTCCCACTTCGAGTTCCCGGACCACTGCACCCCGGAACTGAGCCGGATGATAACCGGAGACTTCTCGGACCTTCTCTTCACTTTCTGAACGGGAAGGGACGAAAAAAAAGTGACGTTTTTAACCACTTTTTCCCTTTTCACTCACACTTGTACTTTTATTTGCCCCATTTTCTCAAACAAAAACAAATGATTTTGGTGTATTTTTCATACAATGGTTATAGTTTGACTTTAAAATGATGGAAGGTTTTGTGTTGGTCATGTGACCAAGTTTGATTTCTGCTCCTCTTTTGTGAAATTTGGAAGGAAACGCGTGACTTTATTACCGATTTGCTTTACTGTTGTTGTATATGTTAAATTGCTCCATGTACAGCACTTTGTATGCAGCGATGGCTGTTTGAAAGTGCTCTATAAATACAGTTGAGTTGAGACAATAAATGGGATCCAACTTCTGGTTTTTATTCTTTGAATACATCATTGTCTGCATGCACATTGTTTTCTACTTAAATCCACGTCATCACATGCACTTTCGACAAAGGTCATCATAACGAGACAAAATTGTGACCTTTTTAGTTAAGACATCAAAAGTCACAGGCAGGGGGCGGGGCGAGGGTGAAAGGAACACAACAATGAGGTGTCAACTACAAATGGTTTCAAATTCTCCAGTTTCATTTTTTTCCCAAACATCGTATTGGATGAAACATCTAAATCAGCGGTCCCCAACTTTTTGCGTGCTATATTTTTTAAGTCAAGAATAAAATTGAAGAAAAATGTTTGTCAACGTGATCAAGTCAGAACGAGCCCAGATCATTTTCACAATAAAACTTTTGAGAGTGACGTTCAATCAAGTGTTTTTGCCAAACCGTGTGTGTGGCACGGTACCAAATACACGACAGACGGACGGACCGGGCCTGGTGATCAGGGACCGCTGAGCTCAACAACATCGAGATTTGCCATCACGACAACTTAAACGACAGCTACAAACACAAACAGCAATCACGAGGTTCAGCTGGGAAAGTTCGAAGTGGAAACTCACCATGAAAAGAGTTGGGGGTAATCGAATGGAACGCTTTTGCGTTCAAGTATCGCTTGCTCAAATTACAAATTCTCCTGGCAATTATTAGGAGCATCAATCATTTTCAGTATTTGAGGTCAGGCCCGGTTCATCATCGCCTTATTCTGAGGCAACCATCATTTTTTTTTCCAAATTCTTGCTTTCTTCCCATAATAAGTTTCCAACTTTGCAAAATGAATCACAAGTGACGAGATGTGGCGGGCTTGCGACGAATCACAGGATGCTTTCGCGTTCCTCCCCAAAGGCGACGGCGTCAGCCGTCATGGTGCAGACCTCGGGAGGGTCTCCCGGCTTCAGGCTCCTCTTCAGGTGGACCACTCGCACGTTTTCGTTGTCGGGGCCGGGCCGGGTGGCTCCGGCGGTGGTGGTGGTTATGGTGGACGCGGGTGGGATGATGGTGTCGCTAGCGGGTGCGGTGCGGGGCGTCTGGCTGGGCTGCTCGTCCTGCTGGCCGTTGGTGGTGTTGTTGTTGAGCGTGACGCTGCCGGGCGTGCGGTTCAGGTTCCAGGTCTGCGAGGCAGGCCAGGCCTCCTCGGGACTGCAGATGGACATGCGGTTCTCGGTGGCATCCCGCAGGACGGCGGGGGCGCCTTGCTTGCGGGCAGCACCTTCTTCGTTCAGCTGGATCAAGTCGGCGCGCTCCGCCTGCGACAGGTCGGCCTCCTCGTCCTGCAGCGAGTGGTTGGGCGAGCTCTCGTTGGACCGCACACCCGAGTCGGACGAGTCCTTCTTGTCCAAGGTGGCGTCCGACAGGTAGTCCTTCCCCTTCAGGGCCAGGGAGCAGCCTCCCGCTTTGGCCTCTGCCACCGCCGCCTTGCCGTCTTTCAGCAGTAGGGAGTCGGACTCTTCAGACTCGTCGTCATCGCTGGTTAGCTTCTGGTAGCGCAGACCGCCGCCGCCCGCCTTGGAGCCAGGGAAAAGGCCACCGCGGTCCGCCGAGGTCTTGCGAACCAGCAGGGACTTGGATGACCCGTGGTCTCCCTTCTCGTCTTCTTCGGTGATAGGATCCAGTGCTTCGCCGCCATCGCCGTTGTCAGACACCGCTTTGCCGCTGCCGCCACCCCTCTTGCTCACCAAGGCCTTGCGTCCGTCTTGCTCCACGCCATCTTTGGCACCCTGGTCCGGAGGCGCTGTCATAAAGAGTCCCGGCTGAAGCTGGACCGGTCTATCGCCGGAGGCACCCTCCAACTGGGCCATCTGCGCGATGTACTCCTGGTAAGCGCATCGGTACTCAGCCTGCTGCTTATCCGTCAGTTTGGCAATGTCATTGCTGCATTCCTGCGAGTTGAGGCTGGTGATGCTGCCGGTCCGCTGCGGGGGGCCCTGGAGAAAACAAGCATAAACCGGCATGGTCACATGACAGGAAGACGCATCTCCGTCTAACTTTGGCAACATTGGCGTTGGTAAGGTCAGATTAGAAGCTCGTTTTGAAGGCCGACTGATCAATCTGTTTTTAAACGCAATTAAACGCCCATCAGTCAGGCCCAAGAAATGAGCGCGTTGTTTCCTGACCATCCATTGCGGGCCACCGTGTCTGGGGGGCTGCTGCTCGTCCAGGCCGATAGTGCTGAGATCGTCGAAGCTCAGAGTGAAGCTGTACATGGGGGACACGTCGCTGGGGGCGTGGCCGGTCCGAGACGCCGCTGCGGCCCGCCGACCCGTCTCTGGGTGGTCACCGGCGAGGCCGCCTTGCTCACTGGCGGCCTCCTCGTACTCCACCTGTCGCAGTTCCAGCACCTGCGGGGGCAGGAAGTTAGGTCAGCGCGCAACAGGACCAGCGAGCACGCCGAGGGTTCGGGCGTCGCGCTCACGCTGGCTCGGAAGAGCTGCCAGTCTCCGAAGTTCATGTTCATTTCCTTCTTCAGTTCGTCCACGTTGCACTGCGACAGGACTCGTCCGTTCACGTTGGCCTGGAAGAGCGAGAACGTGACGAAAATCATCAGCAACGTCAACAGCACCCTCACGAGCATCACGAAGAATGTCAGACCGCCGTGACGCGTGGCGCTCACCTTCCGGATGGTCGCAGTGTAGGCGGCCAACATGCCCTGGTCGATGCCCCGGATCTGTCTGACGTGCTCGCAGACGCCATCTGTCGTCATGGCGCTCAGGAGGGTGGGTGGGATCCCCGAAGCCACAGAGGCGGAGCCCTGAGACACAAAGTAGACATCGGCAATGTCCGATTTCCGACTGATGGCGGCCGGCGAGGAGCGGCGAGGAGAGTGGCGCCCATGTTTGCTCTGGCTCAAATGGGACTCAACACATCATCATCGTCGTCATCCTCCTCCTCCTCCTCAGCACGCAATTGGGTGTTTATGTGTGTGTTGGAGGCAGACCAAATCCTTGCAAATGTTGCCGATGTAGGATGCCACTCGGTGTGGCTGACGTGGTGGTACTTACACTTGTGGGGGCCTCGCGGCGGGCCGTGCTCTTAACGAGCATGCGGGGAAGGAAGTGTGATGGGTAGGCCGCCAGCAGGGGACGTGGCGGATGGTGAAGATGGTGGTGGTGAGGGAAATATGGCTGAGGCAGAAAGAAAATCAACACAACGCAAATCAAACATGAACGTGATGGAGGATGGATGGGAAATGGGCGCCTGGAGTTTTGCTGGTGGCTGACGTGGAGGGAGGGATTTTTATATGGCGGACTTGGATCGTCCCGAAAAAGCCCATTGAGGATCCCTTCCGTTCAGGAGTAGGGAACGAGTGAATATATCGCGGGGCAGGGGCAACCTAAACCAGACTCTCAAGGTCGTCACCGGGCCGCGTTGGACGATAGCCACGCCCCCGCAAACATGAGTAAAACGACAATTGAGGAAAAGCACTTGATGATCCGCGTGGCGCGTAAGACTGACCCTGTTGTAGAAGGGGTGCTGGGGCCCGGCCATGCCGCTGTAGAAGCTGCTGTGAGGTGGCGGCGGCGGCACCACAGCCCCCGCCGCTGGGATGAACGGCCCGCTGAAGGAGACGGACGGCGAGCACGCCGACGACACCTGACTGTACATTGAGGTGGGCCGGGGTTGAACCTCCTGCAGGGTCGGGTAGCCCACGGCGCCCAGGTTCATCTGCTCACGCGCCGCACGCACATCTGGCCACAAGACAAGATGAGAAGGAAAAATGCAGAAAATGCAGATGAGGTTGGGGGGGGGGGGGGCACCGCTGGGATGAACGGCCCGCTGAAGGAGACGGACGGCGAGCACGCCGACGACACCTGACTGTACATTGAGGTGGGCCGGGGTTGAACCTCCTGCAGGGTCGGGTAGCCCACGGCGCCCAGGTTCATCTGCTCACGCGCCGCACGCACATCTGGCCACAAGACAAGATGAGAAGGAAAAATGCAGAAAATGCAGATGGTCACCCCCCTGAGCCAGACAAAGGGCAATTCCAGCCCGCCGTGGGGCGCTCGCCGGCAAGCGCTCACCTCTCGTAAATATTCTTGAGGGTGGCCTGGTCGGGGACGCCGTCGCTCTCCTCCAGGAAGAGGATGAGCCAGGACGT